TGCTTCACAGACTTCTTTTGCGGGTTCCGAAAGCAACGTTAGACATTCTGGGGGCGTACGGGGAGGCCCTCTTTAGGGCGATTTTTGGTCTCGAATTAGATGGTGGAAAAGCGCGGCGAAGGAAATCACTCGGAACAGGTGCTTACCAGCCAGAGGACCCGTGGGAGGGGAGAGAACGGCTTCTTGTGTACCAGCCAGAGGACCCGTGGCCAGAGGACCCGTGGGAGGTGAGAGTACGGCTTCTTGTTTACCAGCCAGAGGACCCGTGGGAGGCGAGAGAACGGCTTTGTCGAGGCTTCCGAGGCGTTTCCGTGACAGCAGGCGGCTGGCGCGTGGCTGAAGGGTCGAAAGCGGAAGAAAGGGCGTGCTCGACGCTGCTTCACAGACTTGTTTTACGGGTTCCGAAAGCAACGTTAGACATTCTGGGGGGCGTACGCGGAGGCCCTCTTTAGGGCGATTTTTGGTCTCGAATTAGATTGTGGAAAGCTGTGGCGAAGCAAATCACTGGGAGCAGGTGTCAACCAGCCAGACAACCCGTCAGAGGGGAGAGGACGGCTTCTTGTGTACCAGCCAGAGGACCCTTGGCCAGAGGACCTGTGGGAGGTGCGAGAACGGCTTCTTGTGTACCAGCCAGAGGACCCGTGGCAGGTGAGAGAACGGCTTTGTCGAGGCTTCCGAGGCGTTTCCGTGACAGCAGGCGGCTGGAAGCGTGGCTGAAGGGTCGAAAGCGGAAGAAAGGGTGTGCTCGACGCGGCTTCACAGACTTGTTTTGCGGGTTCCGAAAGCAACGTTAGACATTCTGGGGGCGTACGCGGAGGACCTCTTTCGGGCGATTTTTGGTCTCGAATTAGATTGCGGAAAGCTGTGGCGAAGCAAATCGCTGGGAGCAGGTGTCAACCAGCCTGAGGACCCGTGGAAGGGAGGTGAGAGAACGGCTTCTTGTGTACCAGCCAGAGGACCCGTGGCCAGAGGACCCGTGGGAGGTGAGAGAACGGCTTCTTGTGTACCAGCCAGAGGACCCGTGGGAGGTGAGAGCCTGGACGCTCCAACAGTGTCCCTGGGACAGCGTTGCTGCAAACTGCAACGTAGATATGCCGTTTGTAGCATTGTTGCCGTTTGCTGCCTCTAGGCCGAGAAGCTATGACTATATTTCAGTTGCCCCAAAAATTTGCTTCACACACGCTGTGAAAAAGCTGGTTTGCTGCCTCTTGGCCATAAAGCTATGACTATGTTTCGATTGCCCCAGAAGTTATCTCACACATGTTGTCAAAAAATTGTATGTAGCCACCGGCCCCCCCAAAAACACACACACACACACTTTAAACGGACACGGACTTTTAAGAGGAAAAAACGTGGAACAAACATTGGCATACAGCATGCACGTATTGTTTTTGCCTTCGTGGTGCAATGCATGAGTTGCACACCGTGCACGCTTTCTCGCTGTGCGTATGTTTGAGCTTCGGTTGGTGTCAGTGAACTTGCGTTTTCATCGATGTACTTCCGAGTTCTGTTTCTGAAACCTGTGATTCTTGGAGTTCAATTCCGTTTTTGGAGTTCGCGCCTTCGTGGTTTTGTTTGTAGGGTGGACTGGGTACATGGACATGTAAACAGTCTGCGTTTACAACGAGTCTCATGGGACGTATGTAAACAACAGTTTTTGCAGGAGTGCTGCAATCTATCTCATGGAAACACGAGGTTCACTTTCGCTTGTCGGCGCGGTCGCCCCTGCGTGCGGTGTTTCTGATACCTAGAGTCTATAAAGGATGGAAGACGCATGATCACTGCAGGTTGGCCTACAGGATGGATAATATGTAACAAGGTTCAGGAGCCAAACCTTCACTCTCTGGTTCCTTTCAGCCCCACACTTTTTCGTGCGATGTCGATGTGAGCATCGCTTGATGCAGTGAACCGGCCGCGCACTCAAGCGGGAGCAGGTTGGGAATACGAGATGAGTGGGTCTAAAGTTGAGTGAAAATTACAAGACTCCAACGCCCGCGTGAAAGAATCCAGGCCGTGTGAGACACCAGCTGTGTGAGATATGTAATCCCCTGACCGTCATGACATGTAATCAAATGACATGTAGCTAAATGTTTTGAAGAATGGTTGAACGACATGCCTACCTTTTTGGCCAAGGTCATTCCGCATTCCGGCCAGAGGGACGACTGCGTTCGAGGAGGCCCGCTCCGACCATGCATGGGTGTGGAACAGTGATCAGTGATACGTTTGAAGTTGAATTGAACAAACTCTGAAATGAATGAGTTAACGGTCCTGGACATAGAAGAGACTTGCACGGAGGGTCACATGTCTACAGCAGTCACTCCAAGCTCGCGGACAATCCTCCTCTCTCGCAAGGCCGCTTCAGAAGATTGGCCTTGGAGAGGCTTGCTCAACGGTGGGCCCGAGCGTTCATCGTTCGCAGTCGTCTTTGTTTGATGAACTTGTTCAATCAAGAGACATTTGATATCGTTGATATCTATACATTCTATACAGTCGAAGTAGGTGATGCTCTGGTGGTAAAACACTCTAGACTCTAGACCATAGATTTCTTTCCATTCTTGCCAATTGCGCTGCAATAGTGCTTTGCATGTTCGCATGGACGCACGCTCTCTTAAACTGTTTTTGACATGTTGCGCTACAAGCTTATGGTGGCCATCGCTGTTTAGAGTGCTTTTTGGTGGCCCCTTGAAATCGACTGAGCTTTGCTGGGGCCATGGCCGTGGCAGTCATTCCAAAGGACCAGGACTTGCCAGTGATCCTGGGCGGTTGGAAATCATCTCGCCCAGGCAAGGTTGCTTGGAAAGAAGCCGATGTGGCACCATGACTGATGTACATATCCAGGTTTTCACGTATTGATCGCGTTGGTTGTCTTTGGCCACTGTCCACCACAAAAAACAAAATGAGGTGTTGATGGTTTTTGGACACTGTCCCACTTAAAAAATGAGTATGAACCGCGGGGGACAAATCGGGGATTGGATGTTTCATGCAGCGTCACGCTGGGTCCTAGGTAAATCTTGCTCGCAACATGCGCGACTTCTTGCCAGTGTCAGTGCTGCACCTTTTCCAATCCGATGGCTGGAAGGGAAGTCAGTTGATTATCTTGGCAAATCCTCTGGTTCGCCCTACCTCGCAAGAGCTGGCCGCAAACTATGTGTGGCTCCGCCCTTTGGTTGCTGACTGCCCATCGAAGGTCTGCATAGTTTTGGGGGGTGCGAACAAGTTTTAGGTTGACGCTTTCACGTTTTCTGTTTTGGCTCATGGTTGCAAAGCTAAGCTAATGCCATGTTTCTTTCGCTGACAGGTGCCAAGTGCTTACTACATCACTGATGCTTTCATGATGCTTGACCGATTGCTTCAGGGCAAGCTCTTCGTTCCAAGCCCTGAGAATGACAAGCTTGGGCTAGCAGCCAAGGAAGCTGTCAAAGCGAAGAGGTGCATTGGAGCCCTTCGAGCTCTTTGGCGCAGCAGCGAGGGAGCGCACGACAACCGGATTGTTGAATTGAAGGGCTTGCTTGAAAAGTCACCACCTCGTGGCAGGCGCCAGAATGCCAACGAGGACTGGGAATGCTTACAAGTCATGGCTAGCAAAAAGGGTTCATGTTATGGGGAAATGGATTAGGAATTGGGAAAACCTTTTTTACCGTTCGCGTTGTAGGAAGATGGACGCGCTGCAGCAGCGTGCGGTAGAGACGTGCGAGATTAGACTATAGGGTGAAGCCTCCGCGCGTATCGCCATGAAGCGGACCCTTTTCCCCTTCCTGGCGGCCGTGTGCCTTTGGAACGTTCCAAAGTAGACCACCGCTGCATGGTGAGTGGATCAAGTGCGTCTGTTTTAGATCTAAGCATGATCCAACCCAACACAAAAGCAAAACGACGTTCATGATGCTCGAACAACTGAGATGTGTGATGCCAAAAATCCATATCCAACAGTGCATAATATATTTTTTAAAGTTTTCCAGAACTTCCACACAATTGTCGGCCGTCGTGTGGAGATTTCGTCTTTGACGAAACTGAAAATGAATTCAGGCGGTAGCCTGCGATCAGACTTCAATTGACCTTGGCCAGCAAAAATGCGTAAAGCAAAGGAACATTCATCACGAATGAGCATCTGGTCAAACGTGTTTTTTTCTCAAACATATCCCAAAAGAGACGAGCTTACGCAAGTGCAATGTTATTTTTGGTACCGTTCCAAGTCATTAAGAGTCATAAGGAGCGAGAAACAAATGCACTCGTCGCACGGTTTTGACCTCTCACAGACTGACACGGATGCCGCCCCTGCAAGTTGATGATATGACTTTCATCGCTGCTTCCCGGCGTGCCCAGCCACCTTAGACCATAAATATAGAACCATGAATCTATTGGAACAATCAGTCTCCTTTAAACTGTTTGAAGCCAGTTGGAAATTTGAATCACTCTACGGGCGGAAAAAAACACGATCAGGTGACATGTGATCGCGATGGGCTGGCTCTGGCTCGGGACACAGTGACAGTGACACAGGTCGTTGTATCCATCACAGTCCAGTGGTTTCTGCATTGGGCCGTCAGCCAGCGCAAGAAACCAAACTTCAAAAGGAAAGTACCGAATTTGAGGAATCGTGGTAATCGTGGTACCGTGGTGGCCATTTGTGCAGCTATGCTACCTACCGTCAACCGTCTTCATGGTTCAAGAAAGCCTGACTAAATGTTGTGGTTACTAGTTAGCGAGTGGTTCACTGGGGGGGTTCAAGTCACGGCAACCTAGCCACACCATGGCCGGAGACGGAGAAACTAGTTTCTCGAGGTGCGAGGTGAGGTTTGCCTGCCACAATTACAATCACACCTAACAAACATTTGACAACCAACCAACAGGTGACATTTGTTTCAACGCAAAAATTTGTCACCACTGCCAACTGCCAAACAAAACATTGATTGAACTTGAACCATTGTGGCGGCCCACCCTATTGCTATTGCGTGAGTAGTTCATAGTAGCCAAATGGCCAATTGGCTACCTTTGCATTTGCGTGTTCATTTCAGCAAATGCTTCGCGTTGCTAAGCAACTTCTTGCGGTCTTTTTCTGCTTTCCTCTCTTCTTTGGTCATTGCTGGCATGGATGTTGCCATTCCCTGCTTGTTCATGGCTTCCCGCCGATTCTCCATTGCCGCTGCCAAGCCAATGACTGGCGCATCCGGCATCGCAGGCTCAGGCAGCAACTTTGCTCTTCCCTTTGGCTTTGGTGGAGCTGCTTTGAATAGTGGAACCGTTACATCTGGGCTATCTGCAGCAGGAGGAACACCCATGCGGAGTGCCAAAGTGTTTGGAACCAACCTGCTAGTTGACACAGGGGCCCAGGGGTCACAGCGGGCTAATCCGGCTATATTATGAAAGTTATGTGTATATATATATATTACATACCTACCTACCTACCTACCTACATACATACATACATACATACAAATACAGTAATACATTACACACATTACATACATTACAGACAGTACATACATACATACATACATACACATACATGCATGCATACATACATACATACTTACATATTACTTACGTACTTACTTACTTACATACCAACATACATACCATACCATACCTTACCATACCGAACATACATACATGCATACATACATACAAACATACATACATACTACTTACATACACACATACACAGATACATCGATACATAGATACATACATACATCCATCCATCCATACATACATACATACACATACATACATACAGACATACATACATAACAAAAATTACATATATTACTTACACACATTACATACACATACATTACATACATTACATTACATTACATTACATCACATTACATTACATTACATTACATTAATACATACCATACCATACCACACCACACCACACCTCACCTAGCCTCACCTCACCTTACCTCACCTCACCATACATGCATACATACATACATAGTTACATACAATCATACATACATACCATACCATACCATGCCATACATACGTACACAATATCAATATATATATATATTTATTTATATCAATATTTGTTGTTGTCTGAAAAATTTGAAAAACGTGCAGCACGCTGCCAAGAGACACTGGGACTTTCAGCGTGACTTTGATGGACCTCTCTGATGCTTCGGCGGCTCCTGCGGCTTCTTCAGTCGTCCAACGTAGGCTGTCGGTCAGTACCTGAAGTGCAGTGCAGGAGTGCAGGAGTGCTTCTGGATGTCATGAGTCACTTCACTCAAGTCTTACAGTGCACGCTGCTGCTGATGATGACAATGACAATGATGATGATAGTGATGATGACGACACAAACACAGCCGAGATTCTGCACTAACCTCAATCTGCCTTTCCTCGACTGTGATGTTATCCTTCTTGCTGGTAGCTGGAACCAACCATGCCGGCACAATCATTGAACTGGTTGCGGTGAGATTGGGAGGAGGGTTCACAAAGAAGGGCATGCCAAGAACCTCTGTGAGCAAGTACCCATTGCTCGCCTTGAGAGTAGAAATGCTCCCAACAAATGGCATGCAAATCTTACTGGAGGTCTCTTTATCTTTCTCTTCTACGGCTTTCTTGTTGTCGAAGAGTAGCCTCTCAGACTCAGTTTTCTTGGTCACCTTGGAAAGCTTTTGCTTTGAACCTGCAGCAAACGCTTCTGCCTCCTCTGTTGCATTGCCAAAGTTCCACACCAAGAAGCGGCCCATGGTGTTGATATGTTCCAAGAAGTGGTCCTGGACCGGGTTCAGTCCAGTAACAGTCACAGTCGCAGTAAAGTCTCAAGAAAACTCTGGTGACAGGCGACAGCACTAGTATTAATAAGGCAATCGGCAATAGGCTATAGGAACGGCAACAACAAGTGATCACAGTGACCAGCAAAAGTGAGCTGCAATTGAACAATTGCAACGATTGGCGTGACGCGACGCGCACCCAACCCGGACGCCAGTCCCAAAGAAAGACTTCCAATCGCATTTGCACAAGCTTGAGATCGATGGAGTTCATTCGGATAGTCTCCAAATCATCATTGTCGAAGCCAAAGAGGCTGGCATAGTGCTCCGATCGCGCAACAAATTCCATTCCACAAACACTCAACTGTCCCAAAGTCATGCTGCTCAAAATGTCCGGCGGCTGTTGTTTGTCCGGCGCCGCCTCATGCTCATCATGCTCCCCTTCTGACTCTCCTCCTCCTCCTCCTCCCTGGGTCTCCGGGTTTGCCTTCCTCTTCCTTGAGTTGAATGCCGATGCCGCCGACTCTGGCTTCATACTGTCAGTCCACCAAGAGGCAAGCTCATCACCTGCACTCTTCACGTAGACCTTCAAAAAGCTAAAGGCCGCATCTGGTGACCTGTTCCCGTTGGTTAATAGAGCTGCCCAGTTGCGTGCCCATGTTTCACTACCTCACCGACCAGCCGCTGAATAGCTGACGCTGACGCTTTATCTTCTCACTTCTCAGACAAACCAATAGATATATATACAGTATATATATATATTACATACCCTACCACACCGTAGAATATATTATATTCTTTGCTTCAAAAGAATGCACTGAAGGTCTAAAGGTTCAAAAGTTCCAAACCCTTAATTGATAATAGCCAGTAGCTAGTAAGTAGCAGCGAAGTACATGGCACTGCTTGCGACGGACAACAACAGTGACAGTGACAGGTACTAGTTAGTACGGCGTACGGCGTACGGGACAGCCGCTAATCGCAACCGAAGTACTCTGCAACACATCAAAGCCCGGGATCAACATGGCAACTGGGTGCGGCTGGTGTGGAGGGGCAGCTGAGGCAGCGGAATCCGGATCCTTGGTCTTGGTTTCAATTGAGAGTTTCTCAGAACGCCTCATCAGCGCTTCCATGTCCACATGGAGCGATGAGATCAGCAATCTGGTGTTGATATCCCAGACCACCTTCTTTGTCAAACGGCCCAAGTCCCTCAAAATTGTCAACGTGTAGAATGACCTCAGGGCGGCAAACCGTTCCAGCAGATGTTTGTCGTCCTTGAAAATCTTCCCCGAGTCTTCCACAAATTGTAGCCGCACCGCCATCAGGTCACACACGTCTGCGGCCATGTTGACCCAATGTTGTGGCACTGCAGAACGAAGCTCATCGTAAATCTTTTGCAAGACTGTGACAAGGGCGGTGTCCGAATCAAAGCTGGGGTCCAACAACAGTCTCTGCTTCGCCTGTGGAGGGATTCGGATTCGGATTCTATAGAATTCTGAGGGTCACTGAGTCAACAAAAATGACAACGACTGACAGCGACAACAAATAACTAAATAACATCAATATGGGAGCAAAAGGTCACTTTAGTTTGAGTGAGAGAGACTGGATTGATTGGACCGAACGACTGAACAGTGACTGAATACGGAATACGGAACCAGGAACCATGGGCAGGCAGTGGGCAGTGCAGACATTCTTAAAATTCTTAGCCGTCAAATCTAAGACTCATAAGCCTAGTTGCCGTGATGAAGTTCGCATTGCTGTCCACTGGCAACTCCAGTATGGTAGCAACAAAATTCGCCATCCCAGATTCTCTACACAAAGGCACTCCTTGCTTCAACCGCTGAAGCGCCCGGACTTCATCACTTTCATCTCGTAAATGCCCAATCTGAAGACCAGCATCAAGGTTGAAATCGGCAAACAGAGGAATGGTTTTGTCACTTGTAGTAGAACCTGCTGGCCCCAAACCAACAGAAGCGTTGGACAAGGCCATGTCAACTGCTGACTTCATGAAAGCTTGAAGCTCTGGCCTGAACATGCTGTAGTTGCGGCAGAACTTCCCGTTCACTGCAGCAGAACCGGAGAACACAAATTCGTAAAAGCAGCTGATCGCATGTCGAAACAGCGAAACTGTGGAAGCCTGGAAAGACTGCACTGCTTTTTGGTTCTCTGGCAGCTTTTCTTTGGCCACGCCAACAATCTCAAAGAAGATATGCATGAAGTCGTCCAAGGCATGTTTTGGGCGGCCAACATCTGCTGAAGGAACGCCGGGCACACCGCGACTTGGCCTGACATCTCCCTCCAAGTTCGGGAATGCCAGGTTGCTCCATGGAATCTGGCCTTCTGATCCTTGTGATTCCACAGCTTTGCCTTTTGCCTTCTTTTTTTTGGTCTTTGTGTTCTCTTCAGCTTTACCATCCTCGGCTGCCTCCACTTCTTGGTCAAACTTTTTGAAGACAGCGCTGGTAGTCATTGGGGTCAACAGAAAGTTCATGGTCGCGGCTGCATCGGCCCCGGGCTTGACGAAGAGGTGTGGCACCATGCGCTCTCCTCCGCCGGTGTGCTTTGTAGGCACCTTTGTGTCTGGTAAGTAATTGGTGAAAAAAACACAATAACTCACATCGAGTTTCTCACTCAGTGAACAAACACACCAGCAAAGCTTTGCGCATTTCGTAACATGCGAGTAGCAGTGACAGTGACAAATGCACAAAGGACAAATGTGACTTGAAGAGAAGCCTGAGGCACGCAAAACTTGACTGCCTCAACCAGTGCCGCGCCAATGTACTCTTTTGGGTAGAACTTGTTGAGCCCATTGACAACGACCACGGTCAACTGGTGCAAAATCTTGATGATGTCCCTGGCAGGCAGGCCACTGGCAGGGGTGGCATGATACATGACAATTTGACCTCCTCCAAGGGTCCAAGTGACTCCAAGTCACCAAGTCTCAAATCATTCAGATTCAAATACCAAATTGGAGCTTTCTTTGATTCATTTGTCAATTTGTCAATCAATCCACTCCAAATAGGAATCTTCCTTCGTCATTCCAATTTCAATCGCATAGTTACTATAGTAATTACGCATATATGGGAGACGGAGAGTCTGAAATTAAGCAAGGGAAATTGGTTGAAGAAAGCAAAGGAAACGCACAAAATCAACAAACTATAACTATAACTTATAACAAACCACACAAACACAAACACCACCCCAAGTCCAAAAGCTTGCCTGTTTGTTGCATCCATGCTCGTGAAGTCGACGTTCGCGTTGGACCATTCTTTCACTGGCTCTTTCACATAAAACTGCACCCAGTGGTTGTTCAATACACTGGTTTGCTTGAAGAAGTTCAGTGAGTCTCCCCATTGTGTCGCCTGCTTCTCCTTGAACACAAAGGCTTCCAAGTAGGACTCGTAGTTGGGGTTCCTCGTTGTGAGTCCAGTCCCGTTTGGACCATTAATCTTTTTGTCCCACTCAGCCATGATGGCCTCTGCATCATCAAGCAGGGATACAAAACTGTCCGATTGGCCCTCGTGATACCGGTTGTGCATGGCACACAAAGCTGCCCTCACCTCGACCGGGGTGTTCGCCGACAACATCCTGACATTCTCAAGTCCCGAAGCGAGTGCACGCTTGACATAGATATTCTCAGGAGCCCGTTTCAAAGCTCGATACATTGCCTCGGAGCGATGATTGTAGGTGATGGCATTTGCTGGTAGCGAATTGTTTGCCGAGAAGCACATCCAAGCCCGTCCTTACATTCATTGAACCAGCATTCTTTCTTGCTTGCTTCAAAGAAGAACACAGCAAAAAAAGGGACATGTTACGGACATGTTAGATTGACATAGAAGAAGATTGAAAGCTCCAACACTGGTCCAACACTAGCAACACAAATCACATTGGCCATTTGGCAATAAGGGAACAAGCTGACTGATTCAAAACCAAATGTCCGCTACAGTCAACGTTCAAGCCACTATGCAGAATTCTATCAGCATAGGCCTCGGCGAGGCTTTCCATGATCTTTCTGTTGCATGGATCGCGACGGATGTTGCGGTACTCTGGCGAATCCGGGTTCGCATGTTCATTGATCCAAGGAATGGTCATGGTGCCGGCTCCATACCGAGCAAATATAGCCTCCACAAGCAAATGCCCCCGCAGCTCCTTGAACTCCTCTGGAAGGCCCACACTGCCCGAGATCCCACCTGGCACTGCTCCTGCACTTGAAGGCTTTGTTGCCATGGCCTCGACCACACCCTGCCCGACAAGAGAACAGTGATCCAAGTCAACAGAGAAGACCGCCGCGATGCCTGACCAACCTGACTGCCTGACTGCCTGACTTTGATGCCTGATCACTGTTACTGTGGCTTGCCATGTATGAATGCAGCATGCAGCATCGGCATGCAGCACGCCGATGCCTTTGACAGAACACAGCCACAGCAATGTGGTCGGCCGGGGCCAAAGTGTCAATGACTCAATGCAACAATGTAATGATGTAATGAACGTAAATGAAAATGTCAAATGATAACAAGCTACTTACTCCCCTTGCTGGTTGAACTGGCAGACTGTCAGACTGTCAGCCTACTGAGTATACTGCGTCCCAACCATTCATTTCTGATTGTCTATTTGATTCGTTGATATATTGAATGATTGATTGAATGACGAGACTGAAAGACCACCTGTAGCCTGTAGACCTCCGGCCTCTAGGTTCATCAAACATCTCCAATGCTCTGAGTAAACGGGCCACCAGACACGCGGCTGCCGTCACTGGTCCTTGTCAGGCCGTCAGACCGTGGCCGCTGTGGCCGTCAGCCAACAATTTCAACGATTCAACAATGCAAAAATTTTAAAATAGTATAGAGGCTTACAGGCTTACGGCTTACAGGAATAATTGCTTTGTTAGTTATGTTTGTTCTTGGTGCCTCTTTCTCACCGTCTTACCATCATAGTGAATCATAGTGCCAAACACAGCTTCACAGCGTCAGCGCCAAGAGTCAAGCCCAAACAAGGTGTTTTTTCTCCCCACTCAATGACCCAACGACTGACGCTAAGATTCTCTCTCTCTCTCTCTCTCGCCCTTGTTCTCAGCTAAGAAAAGAACAGAGTGGCAAAACGCATGGGACTTGACTTGAACTTCAAAGGGTGGTTCAAAGTTAAAGTGAGCTGAACAGCAAGGAATCGAGATTGATGTCACTTGTCACTGAGACAACAAAATAAAGAAGCAAACCAAGGAAGAGAGCAAGAAGAGGCGAGGGCACACAACGTGGCGCACGGCGCCGGCAGCAGCTGCTCTGTACAGAAATTCCCGGCTGCCCATGTGCCCATGTGAACTGCATGCTGCATACATAGTATGGCAGGGTCTGGTCAAGGTCAAGGTCTTGCCTTCTGTTTTACCTGCCTCTAGGTTCGAATTCCACGTGCAACAAACACTTGACATGACTGTGTCAGAACGTAGATTACCCACGCTTACACTGCCAATGTTCAAATGTTCAAAGGTGCAAACACCAAACAGCCAAACAGCAAACAAACATAAACAAACACACAAAAACAAAATCGAACACACGCGTTTAGTTTCCAATGTCCAATGGATTAATTTATATTTGCCGCATTCGGCATTTATGCAAGCATGCAGCTGACAGTTGCATCAGCTAGGCTAAGAAAAGATGAAGTTGAAGTTATAAATGAGTTGTGGCTGCCACCATGTCTGGTCATCAGCTCACTGCCACTGCCACACTGCCCCACTGCGACAATCAGTGATCACTTCTGCTTCTGCTCAGGCTCCAGGATCGGCCTGAACACTGGACCATACAGTGATGGTATGGCAGCAGGCTTCGCAGGTGACTTCACACGATGGCGTCTCCTTGGCTCAGGCGTTGGTGGCTCCTCCTCCAAATCCTTCCGCATGGTGTGCAGGCCGCGGATGATTGGACCCACTGGCGGAACCTACAATGGCTCGGCGGACAAAAACGACGCTCAAACTATAAGTAGCAGTTGGCAATCCAATTCCAACGACGACAATGTCATTGAATGACATGCTACAAACGATCTACTCAAGACTCAAGACTACTCAAGACTGAAGACTCAAGACTAAATGGACTCAGACTCAGACTCTCTTGAATCTGAATTAGTGTAATCTGTAGTCTGTAATCAGTCAGTGTACTGTAATCAATGCAATCTGGGGCGGCGACATCAACATGGAGCATCATGAAAAGGAACTGGACCGCAATTGCAAAGGTTTGCATGCTGTTCCCGGCTTGCATCCTCATAGTGCGAGCTGTGCGATGATGTGAGGAAGACTCCGGCTCCAGACTGAAGCAAGAAAGTTGTAGGCCTTTGTGGATCACAGGATGAATGGGAAAGCCCTGCGCGATGAGTGCCTCTGTCCCCATCATCCATCTCCCACCGGCTCCTGTCAGCGACAGCGACATGAGCAGCGACATGCCATCATCGCTAGTGTCGCCAGACCCAGGTGTAAAGTAAAACAGTCTTTTTATCTATCTCTCTCTATATAATATATATATATGATCTAGAATCTAGAAGCTGTTAAGCCGAAAATCAATCCGTTTGGCCGCTTGTCCGTCCTGGGCCATCAGAAAGCACGTCGCTCCAAACTAAACCCATGTTCCGGATGAGCGGTTGCATCCCCTGACAATCATCATCCGAATGCATTGCATAGGAGGTCGCACCGTTTTGGTTCAAACTGTAGCAGCAGCTAGGCCATCTAGATCGATAGGCCGCCAAACTATCCTGCTCAAATTTTGTCAGAGCATCTTCGAAGTGATGCTTCTGCAAAATCTTGTCTGATTCAACAGGCGAGATTCTTCCCGCCATTGTCAACCGCGATTGAACCTTCGGGCGTCCAATTGCCCAGCGCAAGTCAGCTTCCAATTCATCCTTCCAATTGTTCAAGCCACGGCAAAATAAGACTAGATATGAGATATGAATTATTTAACTATTGAACATTGATCAATGGCATACCTACCAAATATGTTGATAGCACAAAAAACACCAAAACGACATTCAAAATGACCATATATATATAGTATTTGTGTGAAGTCCTGCTCACCACCATCCGGAAGCGTGTGCTGGAAAAAGAACTCTCTCCAACACATAGTGCATGTCCTCTCAAATCTTGCACTGAACCTGCTGAACGGAACGTTGGCGACGTTGGTTTTTCCCTTGTGGTATAATCGTGTCAGCTTTCTTTCTCTGCGCACTGGGCTTCCATAGACGCTTGCGTCAACATCAGTGGAGGAAATGACATACATATGCCCCAGGAACCTTTCGAGCAGCTGAAGTGGAAACCGAGGGCTGTTCTCATGCAATATAATCGGCTCTTGCATGATGATTCTCAAACACACCCAACTCAGGAAAGGTAATATGGTGGCATCACGAGTTCCGAGCTGCTTCCCCATCGACGAGTGGGCTGTGCAGCTGGTCCCGGCCACGTGCACGCGTGCCATTTTCCTGAGCAACAACACCATCCAACAACATTGACAAACAACCAATAACCAACAACCACAAAACAACAAGAACAAGAACTAAGAACAAGAACAAGAACCGGCAACAACTGACAACAACAACCACAACAACCACCACCACCACGACTCACGACCAAAACAACCAAAGACCAAAGATTCAAATAATCGAATGAAACAGCAAAAGGATAACTTGATAAGCATTGATAAGTTGGATGGTTTGGTAATAAGTAGTAGTAGTCAGGCTTTCGGCTTTCGGCGCTTTAGATTCAGATATATTTAATTTTTATAATTGAACGATTTGTTCATGACTCGCAACTAGTGACTCAATCTCATTACCCATTACACGCCACCCAAATGGAGGCCACCAAGAATCAGATGGCATATGCGACGATGCGAATGACACCACGCGTACGTCCTGCATGCTTCTCCACTGCCAACAGCTTTTGCTAGTAGCTCCAATGCAAGATCGGGTTGAGATTGGAGTCTTTGTATGATGGGTTGCAAATCCGGATGCCAGAACTCATTCAAATCTCCAAACAAGCAACTCTTCTCACTATCTCGTACCTTACCAGCAGAGCCCAATGAATTGTAGAGCTGTAGCTCCTCCCTGCAAGAGGCATCATACTCCACTTGGAACAGAATGGATGGCTTTGCTGGTTGAAGACCAGTAGCTTCTTTGATGTAGTGGCACAGGGTGTGCAAGCAAGTTTCAGGGGACCCTACTCCAGAATAGGAAGTGCTCAAAGAAAGATCGTTCAACTTGTGAATCAAAGCCATTTTGTCGAAGATGATGTCAGTCGTTTCCCCTGTGCAAACATCATGCACTGCATGCACTTCATCCAGCGCAACGTGCACTGCATGCTTGAAAAAGCCAAAGTAGTCGTCCATGTTCCGAACAACACCCGGGTGATGTTGATGTTCCTGACTCCAAGTCCAAGTCCATTAGTCTATTAGTCCATTGGTCCATAAAAAGAAATAAATGACGATGACCTAATGACCATTGCAAAATGAAAACCTGAAGTGAACAACGGCGAGGGTCAGCGTTTGTAGTAGGTCCTGAGGATGTTTTGGGCAAAGAAGGTGCTGGACAAGGCTCAGAAGGCTCAGAAGGAGCATTGTTGTTGGGAGCAGAACCTGCATCACATGCTGTCTTCATGTTTGCATCATCGCTGACACTGGGAATGGCGGTAGCGGTAACAGCCACAATCGCCAGTGCTGCTTCTGCATCTGGTTTCTCTGCCGGACAACTTGGAGTCATGTCTTGTGTTTGAGTCGCAGGCACGGTGGCAGGCACGCCGCCATCTGTCGTCGTATCTGGCATGTCTTCAAGGGTAGGGGGAACTGGCATATTTGCTGGAAGTTCACCAGGTGAAGCGGTTGGCGATGGCCGCGATGGCTGAATTTGCTTCATGGCTGACTCCCAATTGGACACTGTTGAAGGATCCTCGTGGGACCCGTGGGAGAACTGAGAACCGGGAGGAGAACAATTTGAAAACAATTCAAAAACTCAGCATATGAATAAGAACAATTCTAGTTTGTTCCTTTTGCGCAATAAGAATAAGAAGTTCAGAAGTAAAAAGCTTGCCTCCACATGGAAAAGCTTTGTCTCGGTCTCAGAGGTCTTGGCAGCATAGTCATCATCTTTGGCCTGAATATCAGATATCAGAAAGACGACAAACAAGACAGGTGGCGACAAGCAATAGCAATAACAATAACCACTATCCAACCAGTAGCTAAATAAAGTCCGAATGTTAAGGAAAC